AAAAAGAAAAGAAAAGGAAAAAATAAAAAAAAACTTGAAGAAAAGTTGAAAAAAAACAACCTGATTGAACAGATTCCTTACAAAACCCTTCACCAAAATGTTTGAAAGCTGTGCTGAAAAAAACCCGTCTACTCTAGAGTCAAAAAGAAAAGAAGAGAGAAAAAAAAAAAAGAAAAGTTAAAAATAACCTGAACGAACAGTATCCTTACAAAACCCATTCATGGACAGAAAATAACCTGTGCTATCAATTTTTTTCCAGGTTTTGATAGATACTATTTTTAGACATTAACGCGACCGTGTTAGAGAGCACCCTTTTTCTTCCCAACGTAAGTTTACATTAACAATTACCATTTTGACACTCTCAATTGAAATCTTACGTTACTTGTAAGTATTTTCGTAAGTGTAAATCGTACGATTTTTTGTGAAACTATGGTCTGGGATGTATAAGTACCGAAACACGTGATGAGCTGTATATGACCAAGAGGGACCTAAGAATAATAGCAAAATCTAACTGTACATTAACCTACCTTTCTGATAGTCTTGATGATAATATTACCTGGTCTATAATCGAAGTACACGTTCATTCCGCGTACGTTAAAATAGAGTGACGTAATGATGACGTAATTTCAGAATATATTTCAGTACACCATTAACATTTGAAAGACACAAAGGTGGCCATTATTATATATGCGAGTGCGATCGCTTTATATTAGATAAACAGATATTTATAGTTTTGAAGATAATTATTGGTCTGTTCTTGTATCGAGTAGATAATCATAAAAATATGTTACAATCAATAGATTTTTACTAAGTTTTTGTAAGAGTTGTAGACATCTTGAATGTGGGTCTCATTGGGGTCTAAGCGTGACGCGGGATTGCCGATTTTTTGTAAGCGTGACACGTGAAAGTCAAATATTATTGTGCCGTGAACACGGGAAATGAAGTCTAGCGGGACACGGGAAATTACAAAAATATGAGAATTGCTTACGTACATAGTGTAAGCGGGATACGGGAATCTGACAAAACAGTAAGCGGGATCCGGGATTAGAACCCCCAATGAGACCCCCTTGAATAAAGAAACTGTTCCTCGAACATTATGAACTTGAAAGTCATGAAATAAACATGTAACATATGCCTAGTCCAAATAATTATGACGTAGGGAGGCGTCACAGACGTCATAATTGTTAGGACTAACATATGCCTACTAGTTCAGTGGTTGTCGTAGGTTCATGTCTGTCATATTTGTTTTTCGTAAATTGTTTTGTTATAATTAGGCCGTTATATATTTTTCATGCCGGGACCTTTTATAGCCGACTATACGGTATGGGTTTTTCTTATTGTTGAAGGCCGTACGGTTGCCTGTAATTCACTTTGTTTGAACTTTGGTGGAGAGTTGTCTCATTGGCAATCATACTACATCTCCTATTTTATATAGTGTCCTGATTTTCAGTGGTCATTATTGGATATTAAAAGCAGAGTTTTTGATGCTCAAGTAAAATTTTGGTCATCTTTTGTTCATTTAAAATCATTTTGCAATGGACCTTCTGTGAAGAAATTTTATGATCTACATTTTGTGTAGTAGTTGGGAGAGAGGGGCAGTAGGAAGGGGTGTCATCCCGAATTCACGAAAAAATTGACATTCTTTCCCGGATCCCGAATTCACGAAAAAATTGACATTCTTTCCCGGATCCCGAATTCACGAAAAAATTAACATTCTTTCCCGGATCCCGAAAAATTAATCTTTTTAAAATTTCTGAGTCCCGATAAGTGTAAACGCTGAATTCCCGCGAAAATAAAGGGAAAACCCGAATAAATAAAAACAATCCCAATCCCGACGTCCCCCCCCCCCCAAAAGTCCCTTCAGCCCCTCAGGAATAACAATATTACTTTAAAAGCAATGGAATAAAAATGTGAGAAAGTGAAATACAAAGTGTTTTGTTGAGCTTTTTCGTATGAAGCGTCGAAATTTACACATCAAAATAGGCCACAAACAGAGATTTTGGTAATATTGAGAAAATCCATGGGATTCCAACGACATTTAGGTCTATAAAACATAAGGATAGGGTTTAACAAACCAATTAATATTCAAATTTACGAGATTGAGTATTTCCTATAAAGAAACGTTTTTTTTATCAACGTATGCTTTATATGTTTACGGGCCTAAAAACCAATAGAAAATTGGCATTTCATAGAATTTAGTGGACAGTTGAAATTCAGTATGCCAAATGTGATGCAAGTAAAAGAACGCGAACACACAGAAAAGACATCTAGAAGGTTTCATTATAAGACAAGTTACTATCATATTTAACAAAGATCTGTCATCCAAGGCTGATGGTATAACAACTATTGTATTATTGTGAGCGATTTATCTCTCATGATTTTTCCTCTATATATATGATCATATATGTATACACATGCATATTATTTGCAGAATGTGCGAAGTATTAGGGCGTATAGCATTTCCGCTAATTTTTCAAAGTTCCAATACTACGTTTCCGGAAACTTAAAGTATACGTTTCCAAAAATTGTATTTATTACTTTTCCGGAAATTTACCTGGTAGTAAATTATTAATATCTGAATATATGTTAGATAAATTATTCAGTTCATATTTTTATACATATTGGTTCTGGTCTTATATCTACAATATACTATATATACTATATGAAAGTTTCACCTTAGAGAAAGATGATGATGTCGGAATCGTTATATTTTTATGTTTCACCAACTTGAAATGTCTTTGATCGTCTATGTAATGAAATAACTGATATTTTCATAGTTGGCACAGTTAATTATTCGATACACGGGTGTAAAATGTTAACTATATTTCTGTTGTGTTTGCGTTACTTCCACTTTTTATCAAATTATGGGATCTGCTAATGTATGTGTGCACTACCCGAAGACTAACTCTCCAGCCCGAGGTAGATCATATTGACTTGGAATGTGCAATGCATACTGCTGTTACAAAAATTTCAGGCTGCTACAATCAGTTATTGCAGGTTTCGTTTAGGACAAAGTTCAAGGTATTCCTTAATTATTTTCCCGAAAAAGTAATAGTTTATTTTATCCGGAATAGTTACTATTTTTTCGGAAAAGTAAGGTATTTATTTCCGGAAACGTAGACTTTTTTTTTTGCGGAAACGTCATCTTTTTTTCCCGGAAAAGTAATGCCAATTTGCGGAAACGTAAAACGCCGAAGTATTAGTCTGATTGCTTTTGTATGTATCTAATTGTGTTTTTTACAAAAAAATTACCCACTATCTGATTTCGATAAATGATTAAGAAAAGATACAAAGAGTAACCAAAGACAGTAAGTCGAAGCAAAATGGCAAAATAGATCTAAATCGTGGTGATTATTAATGTTTAGGCTCATAAATCCTACAAGCTTTCATTCAAACACTTACAAGTGCATTTTCCGTAAAAAATAAAAGTTTTAGCATACTAGGTGTACTGAAAATTCGACATTTTCTAAAAATGACCCATACATAATGTACAGAATATTGCTTAATTTATACATGTCGAGTATACGTTTACTTTATTATTTACAGTAAATCATATACATGTGTTTATCACCTCCTTTGTATAGTCTTGCAACTGGACGTTAAGCAAACAAGAATCAATCAATCCTTTGTATAGACGTATTTCCCCCTTTAAGTTAAATCCTATTTAAAACTATTAGAAAATCTGTTGACCTCAGTTGTTCATTTCTATAGATGTTACGATAGAGTCTATTTTTTGTTTGTTATTTGAATAAAATAGATATATATTTTTTTCAGTAAAAGAGGCACGCGGTACTATGTAAAAGAATATCATATTACATGTACCATATGTTGCCAATGACTGATATATCTCACAAAACAAAATATTGATCTTATCATACATTTGTATCAATTTATTTGAAGTTATCAAACTATCAGTTACTATATAAACATTATATACATATTTTTGGTTTGACAAGCTATAGGTGTTTCATGCACATGTTTAATCAATAATGTGTATCTGTATCGAAGTGAAACAAGAAAATAAGAACAGTCTTTCTTTTTAATCCTTCATTACTCGATTACATAATTTATATATGGTAAATTTAAATATTTGTTGTTTTGTGGTTACACAAACGAATATAATTATATAAAAGTGTTGTAAAACATAGCGTAAAAGGATGTTGTGTTTATCATTTCCTTGAAATACTTATATGTTTACCGAGGGCAAATTTTTGTCACGATATGTGAAAGGAAGCTCTTTTTTGTAGAACTATTGTTGGAATTTGGATTGATATAAAACAAAAAGATTTGGTAAGATGTCGAATGAGATAACGCGTTGGCCTGGGAACCTGGCTCACTGCTGGCTAATGCTGGCAAAGTAAAGATTTGTCTAGTCAAGGAGGTCATATAACCTCCTTGGTCTAGTCTAGCTTTTAACGCTTCAGCAGAGACCAGTTTGATGTGATATATTCTTCCTTAGACTTCCTAATAGTTACAGAGAGACAATGGTTGATTCGTTCATAAACTGAAGCTCATCATAAACCAATTACTTCTAAACTTCAAAAACATTTTATAAACAATACAGAAAGTTGTTTATAAGGTATAATTACTATTAGCACGACTTACAAAGTGATAATGCATGCGATGAACAGTCGCGTTACAACCAGATGCGGATCCAGGATTTTGAAAAGGGGGGTTGGGGACTATCCAACATTTGGAGTGGGACGTGTAAATAGTCTATGCATTCACATATTTAGCTCCATAAGGGAGGGGCACTGCTCTACCCAAATCCGCCTTTGACAACCCTCCTTTTCTTGATTCAAAGTAAGTTCAAATCTTTCAGATATTACACTTGAAAGTAAAAAGTTACACATTGTGACACGTATTATAAGTTAGTATTTGTAACATTTAAAAAGACCCTTAAAATAACTACAATAATAATAGCAATTCGCATATAATAGTCACAATTATGGCTAAATATGAGATAACTACTTTTTATACTTTTGTCTACATAAACTTACTGTTATATATGTCGACCGTCTTATCTCTGTACATGTACAAGTTTGTTTATACCCTGGATTTCTTTACGTCATGGTTCCTGTTCACTTAATCGTTAAACTTTTCAACAAATTATTTTAATATTTCCATTTAAAAGAGGCATATTTCGTTGAACCCAAACTACTGAACTGTGAAATATAAATGTCACGAACGACAACCTCTTTCCCAAAGCCATTTAAAATTGTTGATGTTAACACTTTTATACAGGTATACCGTTTTGTAATGTTTTTACCTTCTTTTTTCCCGTATTCTGTTTTTGTTTTCATGAAATATTATATATAATAAAACAATGATATATAGAAAAACGGTTTAATCTGTAAACGAGACTATTAGAGCAGGTTACTATGACTATATGGAACAGTGAGGAAAATGTTGGAATTAAAAAAAAAAACACACAACCAAAATTACATTAGATTACATGTTTTCTTTTGTGTCGATGATAATGACCGATAATATGCCGCCGCAAAATAATACTTGATTTCATTTTAATATTAGTGTTCAAAGAAAAAACATAGTAAACTCTATAAATAATTCATTGATCAATTTTGATAATAGTAAATACTTCGTAAACATGCCGTAAGCAGGACATATGTATAGTGTAATGAATAGTCAAGGACAACGACTGATATTTAATTATAATATCCGTCCTATCTAAAGTTTAATCATAACTGGAGAAATATCCGAATGGTTTCATGTTCTCTGTATTGCTCCCGGTATTCCCAAACAAAGCCATGGTAGTATTGCTTGACTTCTTGGCTTACCGTACCAAGCAAGGTCAATATTTTTTTTTTTTCAGTGTTATTCATTCTGTACTGAATTCTCCCGATCCGACACTCTTTTACGTCCTCGTGTATAAAAAGAAGATTCCTGTAAAAAGTCACGATTACATGAAAAAGGGATGAAACAGAATGTATTTATTACAGTAAATGTTCCCTATCTATACCAATAACCGTTAAGATGTGTAAGTCGGAGCAGTATTCATATCTTTTTTAATTGAATAAAGTCCCCCCTTTTTTCCACACACACACATTGTTAATGTGTGCCTCGTTCAAAACGGGATACGGTTCAATATGTCAAGGTATTTTGTATTTGTTAAAATCCATTTTGTTTTGCAAATATAGAAATCGTTGTCACATGACTTGACTCAAGCTAGCAAACAATTGTAGCAAACAATTAGAAGGTATAAAAAAAAACAAAACAAAAAAACAAAAAAAAACAAACTACAATATGACATAATTAAGACAATCACTTTTTATCGAGCTAGAGAACACTTGCTAAGAGTTAGCGAACAATTCTGACAATACATACAATATTCTTTACAGAAAAGGAAACTCAACATAAAACAAAAGGAATGTCATACTACACAAATAACATAAAACAAAAGGAATGTCATACTACACAAATAACATAAAACAAAAGGAATGTCATACTACACAAATAACATAAAACAAAAGGAATGTCATACTACACAAATAACATAAAACAAAAGGAATGTCATACTACACAAATAACATAAAACAAAAGGAATGTCATACTACACAAATAACATAAAACAAAAGGAATGTCATCCTACACAAATAACATAAAACAAAAGGAATGCCATACTACACAAATAACATAAAACAAAAGGAATGTCATACTACACAAATAAAGAATACAATAAAGTTTTTCTTTCTTTATTTAAATCTATACTAGTATTAGACTTTCAATAGATAACTGAATTAGTTAACATTGACAGCGTTAAGAAAAACCTCCAGAATGGTTTATGCTAAAGTGTAATTCTATATGTAATCACATCAAAAGTCAAAATATTGTTGGTGAACAATTGTTTTTGTTTTTTGTTGTTTTTTTGGGTGGGAGGGGGGGGGGGGGGGGAGGAGAGGGGAGGGGAGGAAGGGATTATGGTATTCTTTTTAAAAAATTATTTGTTTGAAGTTATTTTTCACAAATGAATTGATACTCCATATTACAATCTTCATCAGCCCAAAAATAACCAGCACTTAATTTATAATATGCTAAGCAGTCTTGATTGTTGTAATTGTTCGGTTGATTAACTCCCCAGTAGAATTTTGTAATCAAGTTTTCTGGATTTGTCGAGTTATACCATGTCCAATGTCCTTCAATTGATCCATCTGTTCCTCCTATCCATACGGGCTGTGTACCTGAAATAGGCAAAATGCATGCTACTTTAATATTTTTCATTGTTTATGGTCATCAATTATGACGGCAACATTCAATTGATCAATTTTAATTTAAATATGTGAATTGAAAATTGCTTATGCTTCTGTATCTCTATTTTCTAATATTTATAAAATACAAAACACAACATAGTCGCTCTGTCTTAGCGATATTGATGTAAAACACAACTGAGCCTCTTTATCTTTACAGTATTAAAGTAAAAACACAACAGCCGCTCTGTCATAACAGTATATTGATTTAAAACACAACAGCCGCTCTTTCTTAGAAGTATTGTAATAAATGAATAATAGGATGTTGATATCAGTATAACATGGTACATCTTTGTGCTTCTATCTCTGACTCTCAACACAAGAGCGAGTTCTGTGAGAGTAGAAATTAAACCTTTCCATTTTGGGGGAAAAGTAGCTGGTTGCAATACCTAGGATGGTATAAGGCATATCTGTCGCTGTAGAGACAGGCCGGAATCGACTGACACCTATTAAGGAGAGGTTCGCATTTTGGCAAGCCAGCTCCAATTCACGCTTATATAGCAGTACGCGCTGATGCTATGGCAACGTAATTTTCGTAGTTATTATAGCCAAATATCGAATTGTCCCAAAGTAAGGCTAATTCGTCAGATGTTTAAGAACAGATGTTTATATTAAGTCCAAAGTTATGTTATAGATAATGCATATTTTAAGGTTTTTCTTGAAGTATAACACACCTCGGGGTGTCAGGATTGCCCAAAGAAAGACCTCCCGTATATAACACACCTCGGGGTGTCAGGATTGCCCAAAGAAAGACCTCCCGTATATAACACACCTCGGGGTGTCAGGATTGCCCAAAGAAAGACCTCCCGTATATAACACACCTCGGGGTGTCAGGATTGCCCAAAGAAATACCTCCCGTATATAACACACCTCGGGGTGTCAGGATTGCCCAAAGATAGACCTCCCGTATATAACACACCTCGGGGTGTCAGGATTGCCCAAAGAAAGACCTCCCGTATATAACACACCTCGGGGTGTCAGGATTACCCAAAGAAAGACCTCCCGTATATAACACACCGAGGGGTGTCAGGATTGGTCAAATGAAAGACAGACCGTAGGGAGGTCTTTCTTTGGGCAATCCTGACACCCCGAGGTGTGTTATACGACAAGAAAAACCTTAAAATATGCATTATCTGACTTATGTACCGTCTATAAATATTATTTTCTGCAAAGTTTTGCAATATTTACAGCCTATTTTACCGACTACACGAAAGTGGGATATTCTTTTCTGATGTGGTCAAGTTTTAATATGCCCTACGGCTCATTTATAATGTGTAATAAAACTCACTAATTAAACTTGATGTATAAACGTTAGAAATCATTGTCCAGTTTGAATAGAAATATTACTGTAACGGCATGAAGCAAGACACACATGAATTGTTACGGTGTATGAAAAATACAAAAGTCACTTTGTAAGTAAATTATTGTATCAACTTTATTTATAAAAGAGGGATGCTTTTTTGTCTATTTTCATGACAATTTTATCGCGGAAAAGCAAATTTTTTTCAACAACTTTGTAAACGAACAATTCAGAGTAATTGTTTTCTCTCTTTTGTTTGGCAATGCAACTTTTTTTTTAATATAAAACTCAGAATTAGGAATACATATTATATCCCCTCCCCATTTTAAAGTACATGGCTGTTATTCTATAGAAAATAAGAATGTTGGATCATTTGATTAGATAGAGTAAAAGGCATATACAGATGTAAAAAACAACTGGCATGAAGAGAGCACGAAATCGTGATACATGTACATGTAACACGAAAAACAAATATCCATAAGTCAAAGTATGATTTCCAATACAATGTGAATAAATAAGATTTTCAAAATCCTACACATAATGTGTTAAATATGGCTTGATTTAAAGTGTTATGGAAATGTTTGCATTATTAAATTCATCTCACATAATGTCCCTTTATTGTAGAGATAAATTAACAAAACTTCACATTATTTGTTTTGGAAGTTAATATTTGCGTCAACGACGATTTTTGGTATGTCAGTCTAATAAACGGAATAAAGGATTGTTTCTGCCTTAAACCTACGAAATATGGAAAATTAAAAAGTAAACCCTCAATTGGCAACACCATACGATAGCTATCAAACGATTTTAGTGTTCAAGTAAATTAAAGTTTGCTTTTTAACCAGGAAAATAATGACCTTATATAGGTCATTATGTTATGCCTTGAAGCAAATTTCATTGAAACTTGGTATCGTCCGGGTTGATTCTTCGGAAGAATGACCTATCGTTCTGAAAGAAAATAACTCCTTGTAGGTATATAAATAATAAATGTTGACCTGTTTGTGATGTTAATTTGATTCATATATCATCAAAGATTTGTTCTATCAAAAAATAGTTAATTATTCATTTGCGTCAATTTTGTAATGATGAATTAAGATAATGTCTTAGAAGATTATTTAATTAGTATTGACAATACCCAACTATAATTTGTAGTAGTGATATTGATTCCACGTAAAGGGAAATAATAGTTTCCGACCTGGTTTGTTATAAAGTTTTATCAAATATTTTGTCACAAAAAAGTATTAATGTAAAACACAACAGAGTCGCTTTGTCTTAACAGTATAAATGTAAAACACAACAGAGTTTGTTTATCTTAATATATGAATGTAAAACATAACAAAGCCGGTCTGTCTTAAAAGTATCGATGTAAAACACAACAGGGCCGCCCTCTCTTATCAGTATTGATGTAGAACATAACAGAGCTGCCTGTCTTACAAGTATCAATGTACACCACAATCGAGCCGTCCTGTCTTCGCAGTATTAATGTAAAACGAAACAGAGTCGCTCTGTCATAGCAGTATGGATGAAAAACACAACAGAGCCGATTTGTCTTAGAATTATCGATGTACAACACAACTGAGCCGTCATGTCTTAGCAGTATTAATGTAAA